ATTCCTGCCACATGATGTTTAAACCCTACTGATCTTAATTTAAAACTTCTTTTCCACATTAATCTTGCAAGCTCAACACTTCAAAAATGTAGTTGTAGATCTTCATAATGCTATTCTGTTGCCCCATTCTTGATGGCTTTCATGAGTAATAAAATAATTAACAATGTTAACATTTGAAGTGTTTTCACTGATATCAGAGTTAACACCCCATACATTAAATGTGGCGTTTTGTGTCTCAAACCTATTTTTTACAGCTGTCTTCAAATCAAGGCAGACACCTCTGCTTCAGTGACATTCAAATCACATTAGAAATGGTTTTCTCATAACCATAACGGTTGAAGACTTTGATTTTTGAGGAAAGAGTTGAGAATCTCATCTACCATCACTAATCATTTGAGCGAGCACATTCTAGATGTTAGATCATACTGCATAGTAACATTGTTACTTATTTTTCAAAGTTTTTATTTCTCATAGATGTTAGCAAGGTTATTTGATCACTCTGGTTTGTTGCTTGAAAAATGTTAATTCTAATTTGCTGAAGAGTGAAAAGTAGTTGGGTGAATGAACAACTTGAACAGCCTATATTGAATGGAGCATGTATTAAAACCCTTTCTTTCTGGATGATTACAGTTTTTAATTGTATGATACTATTTTATATTTTTTCCCCTATGAGACCACTCCCTCACATAGTGTACAGGTCAAACATACAAAAAGGTATGCTTAGACAACAATAGATCTGTCCGTTTCTAATTTCTAGTGCTTTATTTTGCAACTTAAGTATTTTAATACAATGTTTTTGATAATGCAATCCTATGAACAACAATAAAAATGGCAGAAATGTTAAAAAAAATATTTAGACATCCAGTTCCCCTCATGTTTTAAAGCATGACAGATACCAATTTGAAATCCATTAAAAAATGCATTGCCTTACGTGGTACAATTACAGATATACCTCTGCTAACTGATAATGATAACTGTGCTAATGCAGTGTGAAAATTTAGTGTCCAGCAACTATAATTGTGATGTAGATAGAAACATTTCAGCTCATCTGATTACTTAATTGACTTGAACAGTCTTCAAGTTATTATATCTGAATTAATAAGCCTTGATCTGTTCAGACAAACAAGGGGAAAGTACATTCTTTGTACACATAATACACAGTAGTGAGACAGTAAATATTTCAGTGTTCAGTGACATACTTATTTCTCTTCTTATTAGTATTTGCAGAAGGATGAGTAAAAGGAAAAAAAAAAGAAATTGATTTTATTACAGTGGGACTAGTGCTGGTTATAGAACAACTTTCATCTTCACACTTGGGTTTTTTTGTTTTTTTTCATGTATAGATCTTTTTCAGTTTCCATCCCTGGTTTCTGTTTAATAAGATATTGTTTGTTTTGAAATTTGAACAACAACCCTGGCAGAGTGGTAAAAATACATTTCTCCAGATGTTTAAAAACAAAAATTACTCTAAACAGATTGCCTAAAGAGAGGAGATGGCAGATGTGTGAAATTTGGCATGAACCAAGTCATCTTCATTGAGAATTAATTTAGGGAGTTTAAAAGAACTCTTGAGCAATTAAAATTTTATTTCTGAGCATGTCCAGTAGGTATGTGCTCAGATTCTAGCAGAATTTATCAAAGTCCTACCCACTGATTACATCACTCCATCTTCTCCATTTTTGCCATTCTGTGTTAAAACCCAGATCATTTGTATCATTTAATTTGCAGCGTGTTGCTCAATTCAGGGTAGGCCACTCAGCTGTTTGAAATGTTTTTATATCAAAGCGGGTTCTTTTCAATTCAACTCGAACTCATCAGTGGTCCCATGTGCTGAGTGAAGGAGCAGCTCCCTTTAAAATAAAAGCAACAGCATACAACTAGGATCTCAGTGGCCCCATTCAGTATCCCCCAGATAATTTGCAAAAATTCACTTTTGCAGGGGGATAACAAACCAACCCCTGTGAAATATCTGCTGTATATTCTACCACATTCTTAGGCTGGATTTTTACATGAGGAAGGTTGTAAATGTCTCAATGAATTATGCATAGTAAACAAAATAAATACATATACACAGGCAGACAAAGTTCTTTGGGTGATTCTGATATCTTTTATTAGACCAACTTAAATAGGTAGAAAAAACATTTTTAAGCAAGCTTTTGGGTTCAAAAACCCTTCGTCAAGCTAAGGAAGTTTCAGCAGTTGGTGTGTGCTCTTACCGGAAGTTTGGTAAAAAAAATTGTTTTTCCAACTATTTAAGTTGGTCTAATAAAAGATATCAGATTCACCCAAAGAACCTTGTCTGCCCTTTGTCCTTAGACCAACGTGGCTACAACCTACACCACTGTATACATATACACATGTATGCATACATAAAATGTAAGTGCTAACAACACTAGTCATATTATGATAATAATAATAATATTGTTATAATTATGGTGTTAATGATGAATGAACATTTTTGGAGATCCTGATATATAACTGTTGCTTGAGTTCTGTGAAAACTGTTGTAATCACTCCCTTAGTTCTAAAAAGTGTCTAACTATTGAATGATAAAAAGGTAAAAAGCCTCAAACAGTTCTTACTTTCTTCTTGCTTTACCATTGCAGTGGATGGGATGTTTCATTTTTGTGAAAGTTTTAAATGAATTCAGTTAAATTCTATTAGGTTAGACAAATCTACAGTTAATTAAATGTTCAACTTCCTAAAAAGAAGTATGCAGCCTTATATAACACAGCTAAGACCATCTATATTTGAGTAATAGCTCAGTGTTGGGAATTTCTTTGTAATGTTGTTTTGTCTCATGTTTAATCTCTTTGGTTTCACTTTCAGGAGCTGGAATTTTCCAATCTTTTTGCAGTCCTTCACTGTATCCACTCATTCTTTGCTGCCAAAGTGGCTTGTTTGGACCCCTTATATGTAAGCAGTCAAGCCACAGCTTCTGCTGCTGCCACAACTTCTGGTACTGGCAAATTAAAGTATGCTACTTGACATCTCACATTTCAGCACTACTATTTACAAACAGTGCAAAACAACATATAAATATTCATCAGATCTAGACCTTTGGGGAACTATGAACATGGAAACCAATCCAAGAGACGAGTCTTGTTGCAGTTTCAGCAGATAAATGGTCACATGGGATTGTAAATTCATCTCTGTTCTGCAAGACACCAGTAAATAATCAAGCTGAAAACCTGGAATAGGATGGATATGCTTTTAGTATGATCTATTTGTACTTATATAGTGCTTTAAGCAACACTGGAAACAAACGAATAAATGACACAAGGAAACACTTCATATTTAATAAAATTTTCAACTCTCTATAATAACACACAAATAGAATGGTCATTTTCTTGTTTTCAGATGTTTTTATGAAAATATACTAAGCTCTGAGTCTGAACTTAATGCCATATCATTATATTATAAATGATACAACCACAAGGAAGAGGCATATAGTATGTGGCAGCAAGGAGATGAGCATGAAATGGCACTTGTGTAAGTATCTCCTCAAAGAGAAAAGCACTTTAAACACTGTTGTAAACTCATACTTGTGTCCCTCCATGAAATCATGCTATTGTTGTTTATTTTGTTTGTCAATTTAAATAATAACAATGACAAAGCTATAGCCATAATAGTTCGACATGCAAAGCTGCGTAAGGTGGGAAAAAACTTTCCTGGCACAAGATTTTCTTTTTGAAGTGAAAAAAAGATATGAATTCAATTTAATTGTAAGTGAAGACCAGTAAATGATACATCTGGTACATTTTCCTTGCTCATTCTTCTAATATCCAACAGCTTCTATTCACAAAACCTGAGTATTGAATTTTGCTTCAGACATGATATACCTGGCACATTGTTTCAGTATTGAATTCTGATTTCATATCTCAAACAGGAAGATAGAACCTCTTTTCCACCATAGGCTCTAAATATAATAGGCATTATCAATTATTCTGGAAAAATTACACACCGTGAATTCTTACCAATTAATGGCATTGTTCCTTCAATTTTATTTAGTACAAATTAAATTATTACATTACATTTAAAATGTAATTAATTGAGCCAATATAATACATAATATCTTTACATATTAAAAGTACATCACAATCCAAGACCACATATTGTACTTTTCCCAATGAATGTAAGTTCAAAGTGTTGTAAATTTGAAACTACTTTTCATGCAGACAGCATTGATTAGCCTCCAAAGATATGCTACTTGAATACCATTTCTGAAAATTACTTGATTTTGTTCTAGCACACTCATCACCAAATATGGCCAGTTGCTAGAAATGTAAATGTGATATAGCTGAAAGATAGTATATTTCAAGCAGGATCACTTAACTCAAATGAATTAATTATTTAGGCATAGTACTTATGAATTATATTGCAGGAAGATAACCTGATGCAGCCAAGGTATTCGTATAATTTTAAATGCTAATTGTTAATCTGCTCTGTTACGTTTTTATGACTGAAAATATGTTTTAATGGGAGATAGAAGGAGAAAAAGTAAAACATCAAAATGTTGCAAAAGAACATTTAAAAGGAAAGAGTTAAGTAATTTAGTATGAATGTAAGTATCATTTGCACATTTTGGCTCCACTATTGTAATTTCAAATACATCGGTATTTCAGAAAGTACCAGTAATTTTGAAATAAAAGCCATTTGGTCTGCAATGTTTATTGACAGGACCACATGACTTCTCTATATAATCATAAACAATGGGTGCATTCAAAAATCAGTATTCCCCACAGCTATGAAGCTTACCATTCATTGCGCACGCAAAGTTTTTATTTCAAAATTTCTGTTATTGTCTGAAATGTCCTCACACATGAGCAAACCCGGGTCCTGACCTGAGGTCCTTCTATGCATCAGAAGTTGCAGGAGCATGGGCTTACTTCCCTTATATCTTATTTCAGCTTGTTATAAATTAGAAAACTACATATACGCAGGTAAAAATTAAGGGGCCCTTTTTTATTGTTCTGCCTTGTATACCACAAAAATGAAATCAATCATTATTCTAGGTACTATATAAATAAGTATATCTTCATATGTGAATGCAGGTGAATATTTTCTCCAAAGTGTTCAGTACAATGTGAACTGTTGCAACAAATGTAATTGTTGGTATTTCTGTCCGCCTGATTTGTTGCACAAATACATGGATTTGTGTACATAAGAAAACCACCTTTTAAAAAAAATTTGAAAATGTTAAATACCGGTTAATATGAATTGTTCCTAGTTGTAATAGTAGTGTTAGAGTGATGCTACATGATAGTCCAGGAATTATGAAAGTGGCAAGATTTTTGGAGGGTGATATCTTATTGAACCAACTGCATAGTTGGGATAAAGCTAGGCAAGCTTTTAAAAGCAGGGTATTTTTATTTAGGAAAAAGAAAAATAAGCACAGAAATTGTTAAGAACAGTGGACAGACCTGTGAAATTGGAGGGGGCTGAGGGGGGGGGAGAGAATTCCCAGGGGTAGCAGACAAGCAATTAGCAGAAGAAAAGAATGTAGATTACTGGGAGATCAAGACCTATCAAAAAGGGGAGGAGGGTCATTATCACCTGTTGTCTGTGTGAAGAATTTCAAGACTCAGGTAGATTATAGTGTCAGAAAATCAATATCAGTGCTCAATCCTTGGTTCCTGGTGTCCAACCAGTTTATCAGTTTTGTTCCCAAGCAAACCTTAATGAATTGAAGAACACATATCAGGAAATTCTGTATCAGAAGACACAATAGTTGCTTATCTCCTGTGAATATTAAGTCCAGTTACAGTGATTGCACTGTTAAATGGTCAAAAACTGCCAACATATTTGCATAGTTACCATGGTTATTTGTCATGCTAAGCAGAGTGAAGTTCTATGGTAGGTCAGTTATAACAATATAGTGATAGAGACCATTGTGTGTATGTAAATTCTCCATGTGGTGAGGGCCAAATCCCTTTGAAGTCCATGCAAAACTGACATGGATGTCAATAACATCAAGGATTTGGTCCTAGGAGAATGAAAACCCCAGCTGTTTTGAATCAGAAATTATAAGAGTCTAAGGGGACTAAAAGTGGTAACTCAGCCTCTTACTCCTGTCAAGAAGGCATCTACTGGAAACATTGTGACACAACATTGACGATTTTAAAACTGAAGCCCAGTTTTCTCATAATAACAACTGCCTTCTTCCTGTTTTTCTGCTCCAAAATGCTCCCCTCACTGTTTTATATTATACTATGCTACATCTATGACATAGATTGAAAAAATGGAATTTTATCTCATTTGTTCATTTTATTAGTCTATTTCAGGGCCAAGTAGGATTTTTTTTTTGCTTTCAATTTCATTGTGCCATGTGAAACACATCCAACCGCAGTAGTTTGACATGAAATGCTTTAAGTTAAGTGAATGTACAGTACTTTATGAATAGTTTTATAGTTCAAATAGACTCTCTTAAGCCAGATCCAATGGTCCAATATGTGTTTGAGAGCTGCATTTAGCCCAAAGCAGTTTAAGAGGTTAGTTAAGATATATAATGATGAATATAATAACATGCAATAAAGAATTCTATGTCAAAAAGTACTGTTTTGATTTTTTTAATATATTACAATATGAATTGAAAGCAAAACTGTTCCATTCAGAGCTGAAATGGATTAATGAAAATGAACAGACAAGGCAAGATTCTCTCTTCCAATTCACCTCAATCTTTGTTACATATTCTATATATAGAGAGCTGTCATGGTCACCAGTGGGAGTATTGATCATGTAGCAAGTGCAATTTTTTTTAAACAGGCAGTAGTGCAAATTGATGAAAATGCTTTGTTGATTTAGGCTCTCTCAATGAGTGGGATTCACCATTATTTTGGTTTCAGGTTGTAAGATTATATATTGTACTAGGCTGGTTGCATTTCTTTCTTGAATACTAACATTACAGAAACAAATTGTTTTCCAATTATTCAGAGATAATAGGGTAGGTGGGGTATCCATCCTGAGGAAAAGTAGGGTATTCATCCTAAGGAAAGCAATTGAAAACTCAATATTTGAACCAGGTTTGGCAAATTCTACCATGTATATTATGCAGATAATATAAACCATGAGAAATAACAAGGTATGAATTACAGCAGTGTTAAATGACTAAATATCAAAAGCTTCTCCTGAATGCATTTATGAGACTCCCATTTAAATCATTATGAATCCCATACATGTCTGTATAACAACAGACTATATGTATATATATATATGCTATTATTAGTACAGGAAATATTACAGTCCAATATCACATGCATTGCTAAGTAATTAAGGACTTTATAAGTTGATACATCCAGACAGTTATCAAAACTGATACAGTTGTCCTTTAAACTAGCATTTTCTGGGGAAAGGCTGTCTGAGAATTAATAACCAACAGTTCTATTAAAAAAAAAAAGCTGCAATAAAATATAAGTTGTGATATCCATGGTATGGATACTGAAAGTTAGGGAGTGGGGGGTTGTTTTGTTTTTTTGTACTGTGCTTGATATTATCTTATATAATATCTAGAGTGACCATACGCCCTGGTTTGCCTGGGACAGTCCCAGATTTCAAAGGCCAGTCCCAGGTGGTTGGTAAAAATTAAAACAGGAGTCCCAGTTTCAGGCCACAGTCCAGTGGGAAGGTAGAATGGCATAGTGTTTCACCTCTCCACTGGACTGTGCCTGCACCCCTGCCTGCAGGCCTTTTCCACTGCCTGCAACAGCACCAGTGACTTGGTGGAGAGGGGCAGTGGAACAGTGTCCTGGATTTCCTTATGGTCACCCTAATAATACCCCCCCCCCCCCCAATGGACCATTGTCAGTTATGGTTAAAAATATTTGATTTTATCTCATTTGGTTCATGATGAAAATTCTAGATTCAGATAAACTTCCAGAGGTAACCTTAACATTTCATGCCTAGAAGATAGATCTGTTCTGTTACAAAAATGCTGTGAATTTTGAAGCTACTATATTCTGAATTTTCCACAGGGAATACTCTGATTCATTTTCTTAAAGCTATTTACATAATACAGAACTAGATTTTCAAAGCTTCTCAACATGCAGCAACATGATAACTTTTGTGAAAAGTGCTGCTTTAATTAGGTGCCTGTACAATAGATGTGGAAAAAATAATGACCCCAACTCTGTGTGCTAACCAAGTGCTTTTTGAACATCAAGTCTCTAATTTCCAACATTGAGCTGCTCAAACCAGAATTCTTAAAAATACTGTTATAATGATCCTATAAAATGGTAATACAACATCTTCATGTTGTTTTGGCTTTGATACATTAAATGGACTTCCTACAAAATTGATCCCTAATCCTGTGGAAATTTACTCTTTT